TGCGATCGGGGCGCTGCCGCCCCCTGGCGCCCAGGGCAATCCACGCGCCCACGTCCGCCTCGAGCAATCGTCGCGGCATGTTGGACACTGGGGCGCGGCGGCCTATCTCGCGGTCCTGGCGGTTCAGGTGGGGGGCGCGGCCGCGTGGCCAGGCCGCGCCCCTGCCAGGATCAGGTCCTCGGCCAGCTCCCGGCCCGCGGCCCGGCCGACGATCCCGCGCCCGCCGAAGTCGCCCGCGTTGGCGCCCTCCGCGCCCGACGAGAAAACGATGGGGGCAGCCGGCGCTCCGAGTTCTGCGCTCTCGCGGTCTGCGCCTGCCACTGCGCGACCTTCGCGTCGCACCGAGCCGACGGCCACCGCGGCGCCGCGCGGCCCTCGAAGCGCCCCATGAACTGGATGATGGCGCGCGGGACGGCCAGCAGCTCCCTCTTGAGCAGCGCGCCCCAGACCCGCGCGCCGACGACGCCGCGCAGCAGCTCCACGCCCACCCGCGGGGTCTCCAGCAGCCAAGCCAGGGCATCCTGCAACAGGGCGGCCTTCGAAGCCTCGATGGCCAGCGCCAGCGGGTCGGCCAGGAAGCTGTGGCCGACCACCTTGGCCATCTCGCAGGCTGACACCCTCTCGGGGACCACGGAGCCCGCCTCCTCCCAGGCCGCGGCAAGCTGCTCCATGATCGTGTCACAACAGGTCGGGCTCGTGGTCCGCTGGCCTCTCACGTGGGCCGAGATGCACGCGCCGTCGTCCACGTGCACGCAGCAGGCCACGTTCCTCTCGCGCAACCTGATGCGGCCGCCCTTCGAGTAGAGCTCGTCGAGTAGGTGCAGCGCTCCGCCTAGGGGGGCACCGACCAGCGTTTTCCAGTTCGTGGTCCTCGCGCCCCGCGAAGCCGTTCGTCGCCGCCCCCTATGGGCCCCTGCCGCCCTCGCCCATAGCCGCCAAAGTCTTGACGACACACACGGCCACGAATCGAAAGAAACCTGGAGGGTGCGTCTGTAGGCGGCGAGTAGCAAACGAACCACCTGATGTACGACCATAGGGCCGTCCATGTTCGCGTCGCCCGCCACACTTCAGGGCGCCTTTAAACATTCCGAGGAAGTTGCACAGGAGACTCGTAGATTTCCGGGCCACACCCCCAAACATGCACTGATCTAGCTCGACTACCGACACTCCAGCCCTACTAGCTAGCCCTAAAACTCCACCCAGGACCCAGATCGAGGGGTAGCGAGCGAACCCGGGGTCACCCGGGCGCTCTGCTAGAAAGCCCCCCCCCCCCCGCGCGAGAACAGCTTCACAGAGCCCGAGGCAATTTAATAGAAGTGCGTTGGCCTCAGTCACTCTGGCCTGCTGCCCTGGCGCCAGGCCTCCGAGGCCCAGCAGCTCCCACCGCGACCTCAGCGGCGGCGGCCCGTCTGGGCGGGAGCGCGTGCGACTCTAGGTCGCGCGCGGCGGCTCGCTTAGCGCGACGTCGATGGGGCCCTCGTCTGCGAGGCCCCGCAGCAGGGAGACCGCGCGCGGGTCGCTGAAGCCCCGCCTCTCGTCGAGGGTGAGGTCGACGCGGAACGCGAAGGTCCTCGCGCCATGCAGGTCGGACAGCTGCTCGATGAACTGCCGCGCGTCGCCCTGGCGCCGCTGATCAGCGAACGCGCGCAGGGCCGCCGTCGCCCTCGAGCTGAGCTACTTCAGCGACCGCGCCTGGTCCACGAACCCGGGGACAGACACCCCCGCTCCTTCTGGGCCTTGTTCTCGTCTAGCCGGCTGCCTCTCCACCCGCTCCGCGTCGGGCGCGCCCACCTCGTCGGTCGGGCCTCAGCGGGCGTCTCCAACTGCTTCAGCACTCGCGCGATGTCCGCCAGACTGCGGCCGAGCGAGCGCGCGTTGATCGACGTCATGATGCGCGCCGAGCGAGACGAGCCCATCGGAAGCTTCGTGTAGCAAGGGAAGAGCAGCGCGTCGTCGGGCTCGTCTGCCATAGAGTCGGGCAACAGGGTCCGCATCTGCCCCGCTGCCATAGGGGGGCGTTCCCGTCCATGGCCACGTCCACTCAGGCGTCACGATGGAAGAGAAAGCGCAACACTCGTCGCACCTCGCTGCGCCCAGGGCCGCGGCAGGAGCCCGCAGCATGCCTGGCGCGTCACCGTCGCTCAGGCCGTGGTTCTCCCTGGACCGGACGTCGCATCGCACGCACTTGGCTGGGGCGGCCATGATCAGCTTCCGCTGCGTGGGCGGGTCCTTCTTGCGCACTGCGCTCACGCCGTTCACGGCCCCGACCTGGCCTTGCTCGAGGCGGGCCAAAAGCCTGGCGGCAGGTCGCCGCGGTGTAGGTACTTGACCCACTCGGCAGGCTCGCCACCGAAGAAGTCGCAGCGCTGTTCCAGCTCTCAATATCTCAAACTTCCCAGTCCAGTCCACAACGTTATTCTCATCTTGGCAGAAGAAGGCCTCGTCCTCTGGCAAGGCGTCGAGCATGGAGACCGTCCTGTGCGTGACCACCTCGTCGACGCAGCCCGCGTCGAACGACGCGTGCACCGCCGCCCTCTTGGCACCAGTGTACGAGACCCCGCCCAGCTCGAGGAGACCCCTCAACGCCTGTGCGCCAGTCACCTCGTCAGGCCGGCGAACGTGGGCTGATTCCTGCGCGAGCCGCGCTGCGCGCAGCTGAGCCAGTCCCGTGGCGGAGACGTCTCCTCGTCTATCCTCGCGTCGCGCTCCACCACCAGCTGGTCGTCGCATGGTGCCCGCACGGGTCCTACTGATGCCTTCGATGATCTGGTTCGCCACCCTGCTGATCGCCCTCTGGCCAGCTGCCCGCTGCTGCGAAGCCGCCCCGACGACGCCGTAGTAGAGGGTGGGTCGGGCGGCAGAGACATCGGCACGCAGGTCGAGCGGCGCAGAAAGCCTCGGCCATTTCCTCCAGCTTCGGGAACTCCCCGCGTCGAGTCAGCGCGGGCCTGGACGGCGGTGGCACCAGGGCTGAGGCGCGGCCCCAGCGGCGCCGAGGCGACGCCCCCTCCCTGAAGTCGCAGCCGTAGGTCCAGTTGACGCGGAGAGGCCCCAGGCTGCCAAGGCCCTCCCCGGCGCCGCCCTCTCAAGCCTTGGGGGGCTTGCCGCCCCTAGGGTAACCTCCCTTGGGGCCCCCCTTTGGGTCGGCGGCGCCCTGCCCTCCCTTGCCGCGGCGGCGTCGCTCGGCGTGCACTCGCTCGTCTCGTTGGCGCTCTAGCTTGGAGCGCAACGTAGCTCCGCCAATCAGCCGTCCACGGGCTACATCGACAGCGCTGCCGGGCGCGGCCGCAGATCTCAACCTGGCCCCGCCGACGAAGCCCTTCGTCCGCTGCTCGTGCAAGTGGGCGGACAGATGTCGGAGCGCCAGCTCGAGGTTGTCGCCAGTGCGCGGCCGCTGGTAGAGGTCCGCATCCGACGCGACGCCGCCCGTGGCAAAGTCGGTGGACGTGGCTATCGCCCACGGGCACTGCCAGGGCCCCGACGTCTCGGGTTCTATATGGTTGCTCGTCAGCCAATTGCGCGCAGACGTCGAACCCGCACTCCGCATGTGGCGGTAGATCTCTCCAGCAGCACGTCGGAAGTCCGGGGGGGGCTATGCGCCCACGAGTCCGCGCCATGTGAGCTCGTGAGGCCCCCCCCCCGCGGGGGGTGGGGCGCCGTCTGCTCCGCTGGCGGCCGCCGCCGTTGCGCTCTCGATGCCTCGCAGCAGCTGGCGCAGGCTGTCGGCGTCGGGGGCGCCCGCCGTCGCTGGGCCCACGGAGCCGCGCGCGGCCGGTGAATGCTTCGCGCTGGGCCCCAGCGCGCCCGCGGCGTCCAGAGCAGCCGCGCGATGCCAAAACTTCGCCCCCCACCATGGGTCGGCCGGCTGGGCGTCGGCCAGCGCGGCCAGCTCCGCCCGCGCGCGCGCTGTGCGGAGGCAGTCGCGGGCGACGCGGGCCCCGCCGCGGCCCCCGCTGGGCCGGGCGCCCCTGGGGCCACCCCAACGCTCGGGCCTGGCGATCCGCCCGGCGCCCCCCGCGCGTGGGAGATGGGCCCATCGCCGCCCGCCCCGCTGGCAAAAGCGGCCAGGGCGGCCATGTCTCCGTCACCCGCGGGGGCCGTCGGCGGCGCGGGGACGGGGGGCGACCGCGGGGGGGGCAGCGGCGGCATGCCCGCGGGCGCGGCCGCGGGCCCAGGCGGGGGAGCCGTGGCGCTGGCGCCTGGCGAGGCTGTCGTCATGTCCAGAGCCGCCAGCTGCGCCCGCAGCCGCCCCAGCTCCGCACGGTCGCCGTCGAGCTCGTCGGACGTGCCCGGCTCGAAGCCCGCGCGCCGCCAGCAAGCCAAACTCGTCAGCGCCACCGGCCCGACCGCCTGCCCCGCTCGGCCGACGGCCTCGCGGCCCGTTTCGGGGCAGCAAGGGGGGGATTGGGGGGGGGTGAAACCCCCCTCCCCCCCTCCATCCCAAGGGGGGCGGTCCGGTTCCAACCCCCCTCCCATCCAAGCGACCACAGAACGCGCACTTTCTAAGTTACATTTGTTATATCATATTACCTATACTATATACTACGACCTGTTGTTTAATGTGCTATGGTGCATTCATTATGTTGTATGCTGTTACATTAGCACGTAGCGTGTTACAGCGTAGTGTGTGCGATCCTGGGCGATTCCATAATAAAATGCCACAACATGTATAACATGTTATTATACTATATGATACGTATATTCTATTATCGTAGACTCTAGAATAGTATAATATGTGTTGATCTATGATACCATCATGTAATCGTCTGTCCTTCTATCTTATTTTCTATATTTACGAGAGAGAGAGAGGAAGCACATAGAGAAACACACATACAGAGAGAGAGAGAGAGAGAGAGAAACAAAAAAAAAAAAAAAAAAAACGAGAGAGAGAGAGAGAGACATAGAGAGAGAGAGAGAGACAGAGACCAACATACTGAGAAAAACCTGAGCAGGATGGTTTCCTGGTCGCAGGTTGGGCCAGGAGGCGACTACACGCAGCCTCACACATCGTCGTCAGAGGTGGACGGCGTCACGAAATCAATCAGTGTCGGGTCGCCCTGGTCTGTCGTCGACGGTTCAGTCTCATCAGTGCCTCGCTGCTTCAGGGCATTCGACGCATCGTTTTGCAATGCGCTCAACTTTTCCAGGAGCGAGTCCGACAACCTGGCTACGTTGTCCTGGATCCCCGTGAGCATGTCCTCTAGCACCTTCTTGGCGTGACGGGACTCCTGCAGTTGGATGAGCATGTCAAGCGACTTCGCGGTGCCCTTCAGGCGCAAACATGCGCTCAAGAACTCCTCGAACTGCACCTCACCATTTTCATCAACATCGAGCAACGCGAACACGTACTTGGCCTCGTCGGCGCTCACGTTGATATTCTTCCACTCGTTGGCCATATCTGGGTCATCCAGGCGCTGCTCGAGGTCCTCCTGGTTGATGTACCCCCAATGGTCTTCATTCCTGCACTTGTGAAAGAGCTGGATGATCTGGTCTGTCAGGAAATTCTCCTCTTCGCGCTCGGCGGTATTGAGTGCTGTCTGGACGAACACACCTGTGACAACGTTCATCAGCGCCTGAGCCAAGCAACAATCTATACACAAACACCCGCCTGTGATGATCTCCTTCGCCTCCAAAGAGGGTGCCCGAGTAGAAATCGTTGGCTTCACTCGTGATTTGTCATGCATCGCCACCCTCCCCTGAAGTCTAGTGACAATCAACTCGGGGTGTCGGTGTGTAAATAGTTTTGTGGCGAAGCGCCAGCAGTCGAGGCATGAGGAGGGGGAGAGCGACAATGAGGGATGAGGCGGGGAGGAGGAGGGAGAGGGAGGAGGGGAGGGGAGGGAGCAGGGAACAGGGGGGAGTCTGTCTATAGTTCTGTGGCAGGGCGCCAGCAGTGCGAAGGCGATGAAACCGGCGAATGCAATGCCGAGAAGGGGCTGAACCTCCGAGATCAGCGGGTTGGCCACGTCGCTCCAGTCGACACCTCCAGACAACGACTGCCACAATGACAGGACCGTCTGAGCGAGCGAGCTGAAGTGCAGTTTGAGCTTCTCCTCTGAAATGAAGAACCAACATCACAATAAACACCCCGACAAGCGAACCGCACCAAACGAAGGAATCGAGCGGAGCAGAGCTGTTTAGCAAACGCTGAGGACCGTTTAGATAAAGCCACTCATGGGGTCGGGGCGTTTTTCTTTCCCTTGATCCTCACCAGAAGAGTAGGCGACATAATCACCATCGCTGTCAAGATAAGTACGCTCTATGAAGTGGTCGGTCACCGACTGGAGAAACCATACGCCGACAATGTACATCATCAATAACAACAAAATGACTGTCCAAAACAGCGAGCGGAAAGATCCCATGATGGAGCTCACAATTGTGCGCAACTCGCTGATGAGATGTAAGACGCGCACCAATCGGAAGATGCGCACAATCCGTAACACCCGGAGTATGCGCAACACCCTCAGCTTTCCAGCATCGCTGCTCTCGGAGGTGCTGGACCTCGCAAGCTCAATAACCTCCTGAACCAGCTGCGCGACGACGATCAAAAAATCGAAGTAGTTCCACAACGCGCCGTAGTTTTTCGTCAGGAAGAAGCTGAGCTTGTGAACCCACAGCCTGAAAAGGAACTCAATACTCAAGGCTCAAATGTATGTGGAGAGCTTCATGCCGTGACATGCGTGGACAGAAAGACTGGTCAATTCAAAGTCAGCTTGTAGTCCTTGCTCTAAGAGGCAATGTCGGTGGGGACCGGCTCAGGGAGGGGGAACATCGAGCTGGAATCGGCGATACATCGCCGATATCAGCCACCGCACCCCTGGCACGTTGAGGCGTCGAAGAATACCAAGGTCTGTTTGGTAAGGTTTTTGCTATCTAATAGAGGACCACCCTCCCTCTACCCGAAGACTGTCGCGTGCATCCCCCCTACTCACCGAGGCAGCATCCCTCGTGCCCGCTCGAGGATGGTGCACTTCGCGCATGGCAGCCAATGCCTAAACCCGCATTCCACGCGTGCCCGCTCGAGGATGGTGCTCGCTCTCTCGCATGGCAGTTGCTGCGTAAACCCTCAGAATTACCACGCGTGCCCGCTCGAGAACGGTGCACTTTGCGCGTGGGAACTAACGCCTAGGGCCTGACCCCTCAACTCATTCGCGCCAACTCGAGGATTGTGCACTTTCCGCATGGCTGCTATCTCCTAGGCTCCTAGGCCTCTCATCTTGGTTGGCGTTAAAAATGGTCTGGGCATTTTTTCACCATGTCCAGCTCGGCATCTTGAAAATCATTGTTCTACCATTTTTAGATCTCAACATAAACATTAGAAATGTTCAGAAAAGAATTATTTTTATTTCATTTTCGGACCAGTTTTTGTCATTTCCAGGTCAGATCTCTACCGCACGAGTGCTACTACTACTACTGCTACTGCTACTACTACTACTACTACTACTACTACTATTACTACTACTACTACTACTACTACTACTACCACTACGACTACTACTACTACTACTACTACTACTACTACTACGACTACTACTACTACTACTACTACTACTACTACTACTACTACTACTACTACTACTACTACTACTACTACTACTACTACTACTACTACGGCTACTACTACGACTACTACTACTACTACTACTACTACGACTACTACTACTACTACTACTACTACTACTACTACTACTACTACGACTACTACTACTACTACTACTACTACTACTACTACTACTACTACTACTACTACTACTACTACTACTACTACTACTACTACTACTACTACTACTACTACTACTACTACGACTACGACTACGACTACGACTACTACTAACTACTACTACTACTACTACTACTACTACTACTACTACTACTACTACTACTACTACTACTACTACTACTACTACTACTACTACTACTACTACTACTACTACTACGACTACTACTACTACTACTACTACTACTACTACTACTACTACTACTACTACTACTACTACTACTACTACTACTACTACTACTACTACTTGGTTTGCGCCCGGCCCTTCCTGGATTCTGGACGGCGACGTTTTTGATCTCGAAGTGGATTTTGATGAACTCCATGATGGCCTGGCGGCTCAGGAACTGCGCGGACACCATCGCTCAAGCGACAGCTGCGCTGCTGTTGCTGCCGAGCTCCAGCGGCTGGCTTGATCCAGCGGCTGCGCGTGCAGTGAGAGCAGCCACCAGAAAGCAGCCAGCAGAGCTTCCCCAAACGGCCAGCCAGGGGGCCTCTGGGCCTGATTTCGACCATGTTTTTACAATGTCCAGTACATTTGTTTACCACTTTTAACTCTGAGTACGAACTCCGGTTCTGGGCTCCCGCCGTTCCCCTGTCCGCGCAGCTACTGGATCAAGCCAAGGGCTGGGGCACGCCAGCGACGCCACGACTCAGCGATGGTGTCCGCGCAATGCCTGAGCCGCCAGGCCATCATGGAGTTCATCAAAATCCACTTCGAGATCACAAACGCCGCCTCCAGTAGTAGTAGTAGTAGTAGTAGTAGTAGTAGTAGTAGTAGTAGTAGTAGTAGTAGTAGTAGTAGTAGTAGTAGTAGTAGTAGTAGTAGTAGTAGTAGTAGTAGTAGTAGTAGTAGTAGTAGTAGTAGTAGTAGTAGTAGTAGTAGTAGTAGTAGTAGTAGTAGTAGTAGTAGTAGTAGTAGTAGTAGTAGTAGTAGTAGTAGTAGTAGTAGTAGTAGTAGTATTGGTAGTAGTAGTAGTAGTAGTAGTAGTAGTAGTAGTAATAGTAATAGTAGTAGTAGTCGTCGTCGTAGTACTAAAAGTAGTCGTCGTCGTAGTAGTCGCTGTAGTAGCAATAGTGCAGTAGCAGTAACAGTAGCAGTAGTAGAAGTAGTCGTCGACGTCGTCGTCGGCATCGTCATCGTCGGCGTCGTTGTCGTCGTCCTAATAGTACGGGTACAAGAGGAACGTCAGGAAATGAGACAGAATGGCGGCCTCACAGAGGCAGCAACAAATGACGAAAAAATGAACAAAAAAATGAGAAAACAAATGTTTCATTTTTTACCATTTCCAGCTCTCCATGAGCGGAAAGTTGGAAATGGAAAAAAAAAATGCCCAGGCCATTTCTAACGCCAACCAAGCCTCTCATCCAACGCGCACCCGTTCGAGGATCGTGCACTTCCCGCATTCCCAGCCGCTGCTCCCAAGCGCTTCAGAGCCTCAAAAACAATGACCCCTCGTTAAAAACGGTGGATATGCGGCGCGCGCTTCCAAGACAGCCGGTGCAGGCAACCAAAGATGGTCAAAGATGCCTCGAAAACGGCCCAAGATGGCCCCAAGGCGGCAGAATATTGATTCACGACGGCCCAAGATGCCTCCATGAGGGCCCAAAATAACCAAACGAGGAACTCCAACATGGCCCGAAGAAGCCAAAATCAGTGATTTCCTGTTGGTTTGGGAATGATCTTCGCATTCTCGCCTCTTCGGGCCTAAGAGGACTCCACGATGGCCCAAGAGGCATCCAAGACGACGGCCCCAAGACGGCCAAAGATGGCCTCCCATGAGACAAGACGGCCTTAGAAGGCCCTTCGACTGCACAAAGGCGGCCCCACGACGGCCACCAGACACCCACCATAGGGCCAATAGAGGAACACACGACGGTCCAAGAGGGCCCCAAGGAACCCCCAAGACTGCCCCACAGGAGGCCAACACAGCCCCAAGACGGCGAAAGCGAGGTTCATTATCATCATCAGCAGCAGCAGCATCATCATCATCAGCATCCTCCTCCTCCTCCTCATCATCATTCATCATCATCAACATCATCATCATCATCATCATCATCATCATCATCATCATCATCATCATCATGATCATGATCATGATCATCATCATTTCCACCACCACCATCACCATCACCACCATCATCATCATCACCAGCATCATCATAATCATCATCATCATCATCATCATCATCATCATCATCATCATCATCATCATAATCGTCATC